GGAGAAAAATAAAAATAAATATTTGAGACGAGTTCATCTCAACAACTTACTTTATTAATAGAAATTTGACTGGGGAAGGAAAATATGTGTCCTTAAGAATTTTCTATTTGTCTTTCCACTCAATTATTTTTCAAAAAGGTAGTTTGCCTTATCCCGCCTGCATAATGTAATTCAGCTAGTGGGGAACAGCAAATGACCTGTCTTTATAGACAGTAAGAAAATTAACAAATTAATGGTCTAGATGATAAAACAATCCCACTGCTAAGACTGTGTATGTGCTTAATTTATTTATTTTTAAAGCATGGTCTCACACCACTGTCTTCCAGGAATTAAGGTCAGCAAAGTTTGTACAACCATATTTCTGCTCAAGAACTCTCTAACCACATATAAAGTTGCTGTCGAGCTCACTGATGTAGCCTAATTTTAACTGAGTGGGAATAGCATTGCTATCACCAACACAAAGAAAATGAACATCACGTGGAACAAAGCGAAGCCACAGCACTGTGAGGCCAGAAATTGACAGAAGCTTGAAGGCTCACAAACAAGGCTTTCTTAGAGGTTCCTCAGAGAGTTTTATAAAGATGCCAAATACTCAGCCTTATCCCCTGGATATTCTGATTTGGGAGGTCTGAGCCCTATCTAGAAATGTTTTGTTTTAAACAATTGAAGTGAAGCTGATGCACCAAATTCACTGATCTACATTTAGAAACCTCCAGGGAGACTATTCCAAGGCACAATGTATAGTAGCAGAAATCCACAATAATATGAACTTATGTAATATTACATATTTCCAAAGAGAGAAGACCAAATCGAGAATGATGAGAGCAACTTTATTAAAACAAACTGGGTTTAAATGGAACAGACCACAGCACTTGTAATATTTAGGGATGTGTGTAGTTAATGAATAACCTAAGTTTACAGAAGCAAAACTTGTTTTTCAAACCTATTATGTGGAAAGAGTCATTACATTAATACCACATCTTGATTCGTTGATGCCGATTCATTCATTAAGCAAATATTTACTGAGTGCATCTTTGTTCTATGTGCTAAGGATAAAGCATGAACAAAACCAACAGGTGGAAACTGAGAGGCCCTCAGTGCACGTACTTCAAGTCAACAGCTGACAAACCTCTGAGATGCAGTCAAGGCACGAACAGGTAAGGCTAGAAGACCCCTGATCTACTGTTAGAGGGGGATGAGTTCTTTTCCCTAGGAGGCGGTAGGGGCACACTGTGGTCCAGGTACTGACAAATAGGAGTTAGCACATTTAGGTAGCTATTATTATAAGTGTAATGAGTTCCTTTGTTGTTGTTTTTTATATATTTTTTTAATTTTGTTATTTATTTATTTTTTGAGAGAGAGAGGAAGGGTGAGGGAGAGAAACCATCGGCAGCCTCCTGCACGCCCCTCACTGGGAGTTGATGTGGGCCACTAGCAATTAAACACCTAACGAAGTGGAAAGAAAGGGACAAGCTAAGGCAAGTCAGGGAGGAAAAGGGGGCTAAGGACAGTGCATCCTAGACAGAGCTGTCTGAAGGACAAGGAACTTGAAATCGTAGGTTCGTAAAGTCCACAGCCGGAGACCACACACTGCTGTATTAAGTTTCAGCATCAAGGTGCTGTCATACTTACCTGCTCTTACATTTTAGCAAGAGCAAGCCAATCAGTTACCTATGTGTTCTCCCTGCACTTTGATAGGATAAACAAAATGATCAATGCATCTCTAAGGGATCAGGTATGTGGTGATGCTAAATAACCATTCAAATTCTATAAATCTCTTTCTATAAACTTCAGTGATTTTGTTTTTTCCTACTGCTCTGTTGTCAGTGTCTGGAAAAAGAGTTTAATAAATTTTGAATAGATGAAAGAACAAGTCTATGGAGATACGGAAGCCAAAGGAAGCAGGCGAAGCTGCTTCTGGCTAATCTCCCCTCCCTGATGGATTTAGTCTCAGGGGCCAGTGGCAGGAAGCCCAAGGCTGAGCACACACTCAGAGAACGTGGGGAACTGGCATTTGCTATCAAAGAGAAAATAGGCTAGAAGCTAGAGAAAGTTCAAAGGATCGTGTCTAAGACAAAGGCAAAAATGAATGAGCTAGATCAACAACTATGAGCAAGTCTGACTGGTTACTGACTAAGAACCTGGAGATGACCAAAATGTAAGCATTTCTAAAAGGGGCGGGGGAATTCCTATGGCCTCCCCGGGTTCAGTTGGTAGAGCAATTAAGGGTGCCAAGACATTACAGAACATCACCTTTAATTTTGAAGAGACTTTAAAAAGGTAACATTTCAATTTCAAATGTAGTTGAGTATGGCCCTCAAAGCTGGGAGGCACGTTTGTCCTTGTACATCCCTGGGCCCTAAGACACCCTAGAAAGATAAGATGGGGAGGAGCCAACGAAGGCCACTGCAGAGGAGAGGAGAAGGGGAGGGAATGGTGTCTCAGAGCTAAGTAAACAGTGTTTCAAAGAGGAGAATGTGAGCAACTGTGTCAAACGTCACTGACATCTGCGTAAGTGGTGACCTTGACTGGGGCACTGCATGCCAGGAGTCAGCGCCAGCAAGAATGGCAGGAAAGAAAGCAGAGGGAGCAAGTGTACGATGCTTTTAAGGAGTTTTGCTATTGAGTGGAGCAGCAAAAAAGTACTTGGAGAGAAATGTCAGATTAAGAACAAGTATTTGCTATAATTCCTTTTTGTTTTAAAGATTGTAGCATGTTGTATGCTAATGGGAATGACCACGCAGGAGAGAAATGGAGCAACTCAAATGAAACAATCACTGGGGCGGTGCCCATGAGCTGGTGAGAAGGAACGGGACCCAGTGCTACAGGAGGGGCTGGTCATACAGAGGTGAAGAGTTTATCCATGTAAGTGGGGGAAGGAAGAATTGGTGGGATACATGTGCACTGAGGTTAGTTCATGTGGAGATCGGACATGTAGAAACTTCTCAGTGAAACAGAAAAATATCGCTCATACAAACTGAGAGGAAGGGGAAGAAAGTGTTGTAAGTTTAAGAATAAGAAAGTAGATATCAAGCTATATTACCAAGCCACGATTCTCAAAACTGCCTGGTACTAGCACAAGAACAGACATATAGACGAATGGAACAGAACAGAGAACCCAGAAATCAATCCAAGCCATTATACTCAATATTTGACAAAGGAGGCAAGAGCATACAATGGAGTCAAGACAGCCTCTTCAATAAATGGTGTTGGGAAAATTGGACAGATACATGCAAGAAAATGAAACTAGACCACCAACTTACACCATATACAAAAATAAAATCAAAATGGATAAAGGACTTAAATGTAAAACGGGAAACCATAAAAATCTTAGAAGAATCCACAGGCAGCAAAATTTCAGGCATATGCCGAAGCAATACTTTCACCAATACAGCTCCTAGGGCAATGGAAACTAAAGAGAAAATAAACAAATGGGACTACATCAAAATAAAAAGCTTCTGCACAGCAAAAGAAACCATCAACAAAACAACAAGAACACCCACTGCATGGGAGAACATATTTGCCAATGTTATCTCTGAAAGGGTTTAATCGCCAACATTTACAGGGAACTCATACAACTTAACAAAAGGAAGATAAACAATCCAATAAAAATAATGGGCAACGGACCTAAATAGATACTTTTTGAAAGAGGACATACAGAAGGCCAAGAGACATATGAAAACATGCTCAAAGTCACTAAACATACAAGAGATGCAAATCAAAACAACAATGAGGTACCATCTCACACCTGTCAGAATAGCTATCATCAACAAATCAACAAACAACAAGTGCTGGCAAGAATTCGGAGAAAAAGGAACCCTCATGCACTGCTGGTTGGGAATGCAGACTGGTGCAGCCACTGTGGGAGACAGTATGGAGTTTCCTCAAAAAGTTAAAAATGGAACTCCCATTTGACTCAGGGATCCCACTGCTAGGAACATATCCCAAGAAACTAGAAACACCAATCAGAAAGGATATATACACCCCTATGTTCATAGCAGCACCATTTACAATAGCTACGATTTGGAAACAGCCTAAATACCCATCAGCAGATGAGAGGATTAAAAAACTGTGGTATATCTACACAATGGAATACTATGCTGCTGTAAAAAGTAAGGAACTCCTATCATTTGCAACAGCATAGATGGATCTGGAGAGCATTATGCTAAGTGAAATAACTCAGTTTGAGAAAGATAAATATCACCTGATCTCACTCATTTGTGGAATATAATGAACAACATAAACTGATGATCAAAAACAGATCCAGAGACAGGGAAGCATCGATCAGACCATCAAACCTCAGAGGGAAGGCATGGGAGTGTGGGGGTAAGGAGGAGAGATCAACCAAAGGACTTGTATGCATGTAAGCCTAGCCAATGGACACAGACAACAGGGGGGTGAGGGCATGAGGGCAATGGGGGGATAAGGACACATATGTAATACCTTAATCAATAAAGAAAATTAAAAAAAAAAAAAGAATTAAGTTAGTATAAACCAGCCTGCAACTAAATACTGAAAATATTCTTTTCTTGCTGGTTACTAGTGGTAGAGCTAGCCAATGTGAAAAATTAACAGAAAATTCGGTCATTAGCGGGACTTAGAAAAAAAATCAAATCCTGTCATTTAAATCAAATCCACTCTCTACATGAAAGTAATTTAGCACTAATAATGAATAAGTTAGGCCTTTGGGGGTAATTTTAAGAATGTCTAACTAAATTAGAGTTTTGGATGTTACCCAAGAAATTTAACACGTGAACTGGAGCTAGTACAAATACTTGCAGGTTTATACGGTCCACTAAAGCTCTTCGCAAAAAAAAGTGAAAACTTAATTTCCCCAAATCTACTACCTTTTTATTTCTTACCTATTGTGACTTCTATAAACAGTGTGCTATGTCAAACAGCACAGTTTTCCTATCATGGCACTTTCAATTGTTGCATTAAATACATCCACTCACTTACATAGAAACAACTGTTTTCCCAAATGCAAAATTCCTTCTCACCTGTCTCTGGTGATCCAGATCTGCTTTGTTACCAATTAAAATCATTGGAAACTCATCACGATCCTTTACTCTGAGAATCTGTCTTTGAAACTTATAGATCTCTTCAAAACTGAAAAAAGAAAAACAATTAATTTGGCCAAGGAGCGCCATATGTCCCATGTCCCATTTAATACTCTATTTCTTTTTCTTTCTAAAAACCAGAAAATCCAAATTCAATAAAACAGTGGTTTAGACCCGCGGTCACCAACCTTTCAGTCCTCACGGGCCATCAGTGGTCCACGGACCACCGGTTGGCAACTGCTGGTCTAGACTAAAGAGAGATCTCCATTTTAATATTGGTACAAACCTGCCTCTATCTGTGACTGAAAAGACCAACAGGAAACCCTCGCCAGTTCGCATATACTGTTCTCTCATAGCTCCAAACTCTTCTTGTCCTGCTGTATCTAGAACTAAAGAAAAAATAACAACTGTAACTGTGTCCATGTTTTCAATGTAAAAATTGCCTCCCACAAAGGCAGGTCCAATTAATGTGAGTCCTTCAGAGCATGTCATACTTAGTGTGATAAAGAAACCATTTGGCTCGATTCTGGTCAAGATCATGTACCTCGGTTGCAGACACATCCCCAGTAGGGAGTGTGCAGAAGGCAGCTGAATCGATGTTTCTAGCTCTCTATCCCTCTCCCTCTCCCTCCCTCTCTGTAAAAATCAATAAAATATATTTAAAAAAAAGAAATGGAATTCTTCTCCTCTTAGTACTTTATTCTCAATATGAAAGACATATATATTCTAAAGGCAGCCGGTTTCAGAATTACCTTCATCAGCACAGGTTGATTTTGTAGTTAGAATATATTAGCATACCAATTACAAGGTTAAAAATATCAAATACATCAAGGCAGTTAGAGTCAGATAACCTCTGAATTCATTTGAATGTTTATCTCCTCTATGGAAAGAACTAGAAAAGATACCTATAAATTCAAAAGGAAACTCTGCTTTACACCCCAAATACCATACTTCAAGTGCAGGTGCTAATGTTTTCCTTCATCTCTGTGAAAAAAAGGACTGTACGAGTCAAAGGGACAGGGCTTTCTTTTGTGGAGAGGTGAAGTGCTAGCCAAGCAAAAAAAAAAAATATTTGCTAAAGCCTCTGTGCTATAAATTCTAAGCAAATTAAGAAATATTGAAGCTCTTCTTTATTTACTTCACCTAGTTTAAGCTTTACCAAAAGGTAGTACAAGAAAAAGAAAATCCTTGGATATTCTAAATTACAATTATAGCTGCCAGAGAGTGAGAGAGACAGTCAGTCTGTGGACCAGGACTGACAAAAGACGACGCACATTCCAGTGTATCTGCTGGAATTCAGGATTAATTTCCAGGTGGCTATTCCCACGATTACCCAAAAGAGAGAACAGCGGGGCGCCACAGAACCCCAGGAGCCCCACTTCTTTTTTTAATATATTTTATTTCTTTTTTTACAGAGAGGAAGGGAGAGGGATAGTTAGAAACATCGATCAGCTGCCTCCTGCACACCCCCCACTGGGGATGTGCCTGCAACCAAGGTACATGCCCTTGACCGGAATCAAACCTGGGACCCTTCAGTCCGCAGACCGACACTCTAACCACTAAGCCAAACTGGTTAGGGCCCCACTTCTTATTTACACATGAATTTTCGAATCTGCTGTCCACCACTAACCCACAGGAGCCGACGCCTCTTCCTTGGACTCTTTGGGCCTATCCCAGAACTAGCCCGCTTCACTTTCTCCCATCCCCTTGGTCTATAGGCAATGGAAATCCTTTTCAGAATGACTTACATCTTTCTCCCCCACACCTAATGTATTAACCACTTGCAAAACTCCGGATGGCGTGCTATCTTCCCCCTTCCCCCACCTCCCCCCCCAGCCATGCTGTTGGTAGTGTAGGCTCCATGCCCCAAGACTGGCCTTTTTTTTTTTTTTTTTCCTGCTAGCAATGGCCTAATAAAGCCTTTTTAGGCCATGGAAGCTAAATTTTTTTTTTTACTAACACTAGAAAGAGCTAAAACCTCACATGTTTTTCCCAAATAGCCCAATAAACACAACTTCAAGTTATAATGTTATAGGACTAGTTTCCCCAGAACAAGATCAAGCCAGGTGCTGTTTTACCTTACATTTACTGAGGAATATTTAAATTACCCAATGTGCAGATTTATCAATTAAAACATAAGAAAGAGACAGGCTTATGTGTAAGATTATCTAATATTTCTATTATATTTAACCTAGAAAAACGTCAGAGCTTAGTTTTTAAAAATAGGATATATGAACTATCAAATAAAGGAAGATTACTTACTATCTAGCCGGGCTGCTCTGTCATCTATCACGCACTGCTTTGTGTAGGAATCCTCGATGGTTGGATCATAATCCGTCACAAAATAGGACTGTAAGAAAAATTACCTTGTTTTAAAATTCATGTCTGCCTAAACAAGTACCAATGTAACTTTATCAAATCCCACATATCCAGAATTAATCAAAATATTTTCATTGTATTAGGGCTTATCGCTACTATGTCAATTCCCCATTAAATGAAGCAGTTTTCAAATGGAGAAAAAAAAAATTAAGTATCTGAATCGTCATATCTGAAATATGCAAGAAGACTATAAAACATCTGCAGGTTGTTCTCATAATTAACTTATATATACACCTAAGAATCTAGCTATCAAGAAAAACTAAGAAAACACGATAAATTAAAATTCACGTCTATTTGCAACCCGTCTATTTGCAACCCGGCCGTAAGCATCAGTCCTAAGAACAAAGTAGTTGAAACAAACGGAGACAACAAAGAGAGAGGCCTCGAAGACTGCATGTCCCGCTTCTTTTCTCATGCCTCAGTCTTTTCACCGGCCTTGAATAATATTATCATAAGAAACACAACTTCAGGATTCTTTCATTTATGGGGTCTCAACTTATTCTTTCACTGATATTCTTGTTGTTATCTTAATTTCAATTTCCCCCTTCCGTTAGCAAAGCCTCCCAATTGTTATCCTCTGAAATCATCACCAGCAGGAAGCACAGTTCAGGTAGCAGTCAGAAGGGAAGCGTCTGAGGGAACCAAATACATGTCTGTGTATTATATTTCAGTTTTTTTTAAAAAAAGGTTTGTAACAAGGAAACAACAGCAACCACAAAAATCTGAGAGACTTAGTTCCCTAGAAGAGCACTAACTAGGACACTGACATCACCCTGTTCTGCTATCTCCTTCACTCCCCTCCCACTGGCTCATTACAAAGTCTGAGGGAATGACTCGGAGGAAGGCAGTTCGCCGCTAAGAACCAACGCCAGAGGTGTTCAGCCATTGTTCAGGCAAAGGTTCTTGGCAGCAGGACCTGCTTGGCTCCTGGGACACAGCCTTCTTAAGTGACAGCCCTGGGCATGGTGACCTATGCAAACTCCAAAAAGCTACGCAGACACAGGCACTCTGCACAGGACAGTGAAGAAACCCCTGGTTTGAGGAGGGCGGGGTAGAAAGGGTGAGAACAATGACCTGCTGGCTACCATGACTTTACATATTTATTTTATTTTTGAGGGATACTTGCCACAGTTATATTTTAGGGTTAACTTTAATCATAGAATTCAGCATCCGTAATCCTACTTCCCAATTGATGGTTTCACTTAAATGCATAATTTATTAAACAAAGTCTGTAAAAGAAACATTTACCAACAGGAGCAGCTTGGAGTAGAAAGCCATTTCCATCACTACCCCATTCCCCATTTAAAAATAAACAGATATCCAAACAATCCTGAACTCACCTCTTGGCACCCACACCTCTTCAGAAGGTAAATACAACTGGCAGGAATATTCTTTGTACCGACTACTCTAAACAACTTAAAACTGCAGCCTTTCGCCAAGCAAGTGGGATAAAGCACGCTGTTTATATATTTTTAAGATTAGTTTCCTGAAACATGTTCTCCACAGCAATCTGACACCTCTTGCCATGCTTTCATCTCACAAACCTGAATTTCACTGAGTATTCCCAGCTTATGCCTAAATGCCCTAAAATGTGCCCACTGTCGTTCCCACTTTGTCTGAAAACATAATAGACAAATATTAACTATATTTTTCAAATGTCCAGGTCATGCATAATAGCTAGAGTTCTTTCAATGAGATGGGTTCTTTTTGCATTGTGAAACCAAATTAAAACATTACCACTTTTAGGAGACTTGTAGTTTAAGCAACTTTGAGAGCCATTAAAATAAATTTAGTGGCTATGGAAGTTTCATGTTTTCTTTGGATGTCTTAGTTCCTGAAATCTTAATGTTGTAAAAAGTTTGCCACTTTACTAACACTGGCAAGAACTTATTCCATTCATATTAATTTTTAAGACAAACTAATTTTGGAGTTTCTGGATATTTAGGTCCACATTTCATCTATATTGTGTCCTGTTTTCAAAAGCTGTCTGTAGAGCCCATCGTCTTACTATTATATGTAGACTTTAAAGAGTCATCCTTACTGAAAAGTATCTTCTTGTCAGCCCCTTGAGTTCAGTAACGACATCACTCTGGACATGGCTGTCACAAAACCAGAGACCCTCTTTCCCTTTCATAATTCTAATAAGCCACGGCTCAGAATATGCCTAAAACAGGCATTCATCATGTGCAAGTAATGAACAGAATCATCACCTCCCACCATAAAGACATAACATTTTTGTTGTTTAAACTTCGGTACCAGATATTTGATCACCAACAAGAAATCAGGCTCTGATGAAGGGCAGTCCTGGATTGAAGTCTAACTCTATTTGCTAGCTGTGGAACTGGAGGCAAATGACTTTACCTTTCTAACCTTTAGCATCTATAAAATAGGACAGCGACAAAACCTGGTGGAACAGGTAAAAAGAAGTCATGCATATAAAGTGCCAAGGCATGCTGATGGTTCATAAACATTAACCATAATATTATTTTTGTCACATGGTTAGATGGTATGAACTAGTGTTTTTATTCAAGTTTATAGACTTGCTAATCCCAGGAACAACTGTAATAATTCCAATCCTAGTTATACCACAGACCAACCATGGGACTTGGTATTCAAAATGTTGTGAACCAAAAATAAAAGCTACCCTCACCCCATCTGGGATTCTGGAAATATTTTCTGGATCTGAGCTGTAACTGCCAAATATATACATATGTAAAAATTCATCAAGCTGTACATTTAAGGTATGTGTACTTTTTTGCACGATACAAATTATACCTTTCTAAATTGCATAAATTAATGGTTGGATTAAATGGTGCCTTTGTTGCTTATATGATTCAGTACTTTGTTAACACAGTATGTAAAGCCTTCTAGTTTGATCTGTGTTGTTCACCATTCAGACTTATTTTTCACTACTTGAAATCCTTCAGTCAATTGCTCTTGTTCTCATTCATTTGCTCAACAATTATTTATGGAGCATCACAGGGACAAAGTCCCTACTTTCAGAGCCCACTGCTTTTTGCACAACATGCAGTAATTGTGCTGTGATTAGAGAAGAGGAGAGAGAATAAGGAGTGTTAAATGTACTGGCCAAAGAACAGAAACAGCATGAAATGCCAATACCATGCTTGTTCAGAAGGCAACAAAATTTAAGGGGTTAATACTGCAGTGCCTAATGCACAGGAACTATGTATACATTCACCTATAAACACAGAGCCCCTGCAATTTGCCAGAAAAGAAAACAGTCTGTCTGCTGAAGTTGAAATGTTACCTACCACAGTCCAGAAAGGATATTCTGTAGCAGAAAGCAAGGAAAACCGGAGTATGGTATTGCACTGTGGAAGATAGTAGAGGTTCAGGCAAGGGCAGGAAAGAATTGGACTAAAGAGTCCAGAAAAACAGTGAAGGGGGGAAAAGGAGGTGGGGGGGGGGGGTGGAAATATGTGTTTTCTTGGTATCACAGGAAAGGATGCATGGAGAAGGATCCTAGCCAGAAAGAACAGGAGTGCTCCTTCCAAAGGGCAGGATGCCTTCCAGGTAGTAAGAAGGGCAAATGGACCTAAGTCTCTTTAAGGATGTTAGGAGGCGTGGAGCAAAGTTAGGATTAGAGAAGCTAGCCCATTCAGACAGGGAGATCTATTTCCCCAGATAAAATCTAGGGAAGCCCTTAATAATGCAAGAGTGCTAACGCTGTGATAGCAGGAATATTCGATTATATGCCACTAGATTGCTTGGCCAACTCACTATCTTCCCATTCAGAGAAGCTGCTGTAGGGAAGAAAAGAAAGGGGAAGGGAAGGAATGAGAATGATACTACTTCTGCATTCAGTGGGCAAGAGTGACAACCCACTTTCTCCTGCCGCCAAGCTACTGATGAAAGTGTAGTTCCCAAGCACTGCCACTGAGCGGTGCCTGGTCTATGTACTGGGATAGGTAGGTAGAGACGGGGAACTCCGTGAAGCCACCACACTGGTGAAGTCCACTACCCTTGTATTTAAAAAGGACAGAAGGCTAGACCGACCAGGCCACTGATGAGTTTAAACCAATGACAGAGCATTTCTGAGCACAGCACCATCCTCAGGAGTCCTGGAGTCCTCCAGAAACATGGGGTCAGAAAGGGGAGGGGGAGAGGAGAGAGCAGGGGAAGGAAAATAGTTGAAACCATATAGAAAAACACTGCTAACTACTGAGTCTGGGTAATGTGTATATGAGAGTATATTTTACTATTCTCTCTACTTTTGCATATATTTGCCAATTTTCATATGAAATTTATTTTTTTCAATCTGGTGGTAGCACCTAAGTACTATAGAAAGGGTCAAATCAAGGGATGAAAGGATGCTTTTCAACTGAGCTTTCACCTCATTGTATTCAAAACCAAATTGCCTAGAAGCCTAAAAATTTTTTTCTTGGTCAGAATATTTTCCAGTTTTCTTTATATATTTTTTACTTTTACCATCCATCCTTTCCCCCACTCCGACAATATAAACTCCATGGGGGCACAGATTTCTGTCAGAGGTAACGTGACTTCCCTAGCACTTAAAACAGCAAATCGTTGGCAGATCCAACACTAAAATCAAAGTTTGCAGGCTCTTTGGCCAAAACTCCTTCCGCTTCACTTATTCTGCCTTTCGAAAGTTAAATGACTCTCAAACTCATCTCCATTCCCTTCTCCATTACATCCATTTAAAAAAAAAAAAGAAGTATCTTCAATTACAAGAAGAGCAGACATCTTTTATTTAGCATTTAACATGTGGTAAGCAGTTCATAACATTACATTTTATTATGTGATACATACAATATTTTCCTGATTAATTTTTACAACAAGGTTGTCTGTGGCTCCTTCAGGGAGCTGGAGTGGGGAGAGCAGGAGGGGTTGGAAAGGCTGCACCAATGAAACCTGATGTCCATGCTTTCTCACGAGGGCCTGTAGGTTTCCTGGAAGAGTCCCTGTGTGGGACCCGCCCTGTGCAACCCC